ATCGTATTATCTGTGTCCTTGGTCAAAATAATACTAGGGCTACAAACATTTCTAGAATGGCCATATGTGTCCTTGGTCAGAATAATATGTGATCATATGATTCTCACTATCAGGATTTGAAACATTTGATACCCTCGTCACAGTTACCATCCTAAGGAAATATATCAATGCATACAATTATGATTTACATGATATAGTAGAAAACGCCTTTTATTGATTAATAAACATTATTACAAAGAGTCAATTCTACAATAATTGATTGGCTCTATGGCACCTACTCCAACACTTTGTACAAAGGATGTCATATCATTTCATCTTGGCTAACTTGGCTGGTGGAAAATACTTTGCAAGGAACTTTTATGCTAGCTCATCCCAAGTTGTGATAGTTCTTGCCAGTAGTCACATTAACCAACCTTTAGCTTTTTCTCTCAATGAAAATGGAAATAACCATAGTCTAATGGCATCATTCATCAATCTGTTGTGGTTGAATGTATCACATATCTCCAAAAAGTTAGCTATTGGCAAATTTAGATCCTCACGTGTATTACCCCCAAACTAAGCTGATTGTTGGATCATCTGAATGATCGCTGGCTTGATTCCAAAATTGTTGGCTTGAATTGGTGGCCTTGTAATGCTTGGACCACATCCATCTATTGTTGGTACTGCAATTTCTCTCAAAGTTCTCTGATCTGCCATAATCTTCAAATGCACCTAAAACACAAGAATTCCAATTTAGAATTATGTAATATATATTAACTACAAAATTAATTGAAAACTTTAATCTAGCACTTGATAAGAGCTTGAAAATACATAATTACTTAGTGGTTTACGGGGACTATTTGGGACAAATTAGGTTTTAATTGGTAAATTTGCTTAATATTTTCATAAATGTCTTTTACGGGATCACAGGTGTGTTTGAGTGTTTTTAGGGTATCTATGCTAAATGTTATGCTCGGATGAAGAATCACGTCAGCAATGGAATGAGTGACGAGTAGAAACAAACGGATTGAGAATTGGAGTTGAATTGAAGAAGTTATAGAGTTTGAAGTTAAAGAGGAAATCCTAGATTACGCTCCAGTTTGAGCATGCTTCAATGTTTTGACAATAACTCGAGTTGTAAATCTTGAATTAAGATGATTGTTGGACTATTGGAAAGTTTTTTCAAAGGGCTACATTTTTAGCAGGTTTGGAATTCCATGAGTAACAGGGGACTCATTATTGCAATCAAACAATAGATGCTTTGATGAAAAAGTACGGTGTTTTCCATAAAATTGTTACTTCTTATCACCCCCAAACTAATGGATAAGCTGAAGTATCTAATAGGGAAGTCAAATCCATCTTAGAGAAGACTGTGAAGCCAAACAGAAAAGATCTGAGCCTGAGACTTGATGATGCGTTATGGGCTTATAAGATAGCATACAAAACACCCATTGGGATGTCCCCTTATCGATTGGTTTTTGGTAAGTCATGTCTCCTTCCTATAGAGTTGGAGCACAAGGCTTATTGGGTAGTCAAGAGTTGCAACATGGACTTGGGAAAAGTTGGTAAGCATAGAAAATTGCAGTTGCAAGAGTTGGAGGAGATATGACTTGAAGCCTATGAGAACTCAAGAATTTACAAGGACAAGACCAAGGCATTTCATGGCAAGATGATTGTTAGATAGCACTTTGTTGTTGGACAGAAAGCCTTACTTTATAATTCAAGACTTAAATTAATGCTTGGTAAGTTGCGTTCTCGTTGGATTAGGCCTTTTGAAGTTACTAATGTTTTTCCTTATGGTGTAGTTGAAGTGCAAAGTTTAGGAACTAATAAGGTGTTCAAGTTCAATGAGCATAGGCTTAAGCCATTTTATGAAGGCTTTCTAGAACATACTACAGAAGCAGTGCGACTAGGTGATCCCGTTTATGCAGATTGAAGCGAGCTTCAGAGACGGGCTAATGACGTTTAACAAAGGTGCTACTTGGGAAGCAACCAAAGGGGAGTATTTATTTATTTTTTATTTTTTATTTTTACATTGAAGAATAACTCTTCTTTACAATTGGATTTTACATTGGGCACAATGTAAGCTTTAAGTGTGGGGAAGAGGCTTAGGTAGGATTTTTTTTTTTTCAATAAAGAGTGTGCCTTGTGTATGATTTGAAGTCAATTGAAAAAAAAAATTAATTTTTTTAAGCTTTAAGTTAGGTCCTTGAATACCCGATGATGCATGAGATCTTAACTTGACTTGTGTAAATAAGTACACTCCTTAGTTTAGGATGTTAGCAATATTCTATAAACTAGAGCTAAGCACATTTGAATCATGGCAATCAATTGAAATGATATGTCTTGAAAAGTTGGGTGAACCTGGTGATGTGGCATGATTAAGGGGTATATAACGAGTCTCAAAACCGCTTTTTCTTAAGCTAGTCCTAAATTCGGGTTTAAGTAAATAAGGTTAAAAAACAAGAGAGAGAAAAAAAAGATTAAATTGTTCTACTCAGCTGTCTAAGCTGTTAAATAACTGGGAGTCTTGGCAAAAAGTGTTAACCCTTATTTCAATCTGTGACTTAAGACATAAGTATGCAAAGCACCTTTTGTTTGTTTCCTATTGATTAAGTTTCGGGCTACGACTCAACAAAGAACTATATCTATAAATAAACCCCTAGTTTGCTACCCGGTTTGTAGTAGTAAAGAGAAATGGTTGAGGGATTAGTTGTGCATGAGTCGGTTGTGTTAAGTTGCCTAGTTCGCTTTGACTGATTGAGAGTAATTGTGGATATAGATGAAAAGAGAGATAAATGTATTTAGCTTTGGTTTATTCTATGATTGCTACATTCTAAATTAGGTATGGTTATGCTTAATTTGCATACTTAATGATTAAACATAATGGCTGGTGCATCATGATGGTGCTCTTGGTGTGGTTTGAGTTAGTATAGTGTGTTCTTAGTGTTGAGTTGTTTTGGCCGAGGACGTGCAAAAGAAAACTAAGTGTGGGGGAATTTGATAGACTTATAATTTTATATTTTTATTATCCTTGCATTTAGTTTATTTGGCATGTTTAATATCTTACGGTGCCTATTTGTGACGCTTTTTATGTATAAGGCATTTGTGGTTAAGAGCTAGTAAAATATACTTAAAATCAAAAGTTTCCAGCATTTTTACTTTTGGATGTTTTGGGCTGTTTGTAGATTTTTGATGGACTTGGAGTTAAAGTTTGTTTTTGGATCACTTATGAAGTTAAAGTAGACATCTTAAGCTTTCCAAGTTGGGATGGCACATCTAAAGACGACTTCGTTTGGGCCTCCAATTGTTGGTGTAAAGGCAGAGCTGAAAACTGAAATCAAATCCTAATTGGAGTAGAATTTCTGTCCGACCACTAGAGCTTTAAAAAGGCATAACTAGAGGTTCTGAAACTCAAATGAGACGATTCAAAGCCCAAATTGAAGTGCGCATCCTGAATTACAATTATTTTGAATGGGATGAAGTCTAGAAATCTTGTTGTCCTATCCAAAACTGGCCTGGAAGTTATGGTTTTAGCCCAGAAGCTTTAATCCTTAGCTGATTTGGATTATTTTTGTATGGCTAATATAAAGACTTGGTCCAACTTCAAAAGGGAGTTCAATACAAGTCTAGAGGGCTGGAAATTCATGTGTATGAGCTGTAATTTCACTTGCACAAATTAAGGGCAGGTTTGAAGAGAGAGAAAGAAGTGTTTTCCTAAAAGGGTTTAGTTATTTGCCTTAATTTTAGGAGTTCGCTATTAAAGGGAAGTCTTTATATGTTTCTTTGAGATATAAAATAGAACTTTTAGGTTGCTAGGATTTTGGATGTTGGAGACAGAACGCAATTTTATTTTTCCTTTTTTTTTTTTTTTGTGCCTTTCATCTCATCATGTCGGGCTAAGTTCTTTAGTTTGATTCAAGGAAAATCCAATCCGATTAGCATAATTGTAAGACTTTGTTTTTAATCTTAGTTATTCTTCTATTCGTATATCTATGTTTCTTTGTTTTATTTATTATGGTTGCATGATTTAATTGATTAAAGAGGCCTGTTAATTGATTGATTGTGTGATTGATTGCTAAACTGAATTTGTAATCCGTAATTGCTATAATATTCAGTTAGAGTAGTAATTAAGCAAAACGATTGTGATCCAAGCATTTGTTGATTGTTTTAAAAAACATGGAATGAATTAAATAATCTGACACTTGTTTTATTGTTATTCATCTTTAACTACTTCCTAATTAGTAATGTTATCAGTAAATTCATAAGGATTGCATAATACCAAGTGGTTTATTGATAAGAATTAATTTGTGTGTTGGGCTCAGATTAATGAACTTAGGGAAGATAAAGATTGTTTGGCTTCTTGATAATTTTTAGTTAAATATTCAATTAAAGAATAATATACATTAGAAGTCAGTGATCAGTTTGCAACCGTGGGTAATTTTCCTTGAGTTGAAATCATTTTTTATTAAATTCTCTTTACTTAATTCCTGTTAGTAGTAATTACTCTTGTGTCAATTAATTTTCGAAGTAAAATTTCCCCCTTTTTATTTCATTAATTCATTGTGATATTAGGATGGGTAATCTGATTAGCTAGTCTCTGTAGATCGACCTATACTTACTGTGTTACAAGTTGTGAGTAGAGTAATTTAATTTTTGTTGCGCTCGGCATGCATCATTACTTGAGATCTACAATTGAGGGATGTGCTTCTAGTATTAGGAGATCGCCGATTCAAGCAAATACCTTTGAGATCAAACCTACCATTAATCAGATGATACAACATTCGGTACAATTCGCAGGGTTGTCTAGTGATGATCCTAACTTGCATATTGCCAATTTTTTGGAGCTATGCAACACATTCAGACATAATGAGGTATTTGATGATGCAATTAGGCTAAGGCTTTTTCCATTCTCTCTTCGGGACAAAGCTAAGGTTTGGTTAATTTCTCTACCACCTGGATCATGACTTTAAATGAGTTAGTTCAGGCGTTTTTTTATGAAATATCCTGTCAAGTCTGCCAAGATGAGAAGTGACATTACAAATTTTTACTAGCAAGATATGGAGTCACTTTATGAAGCTTGGGAAAGGTACAATGATCTCTTAAGAAAGTGTCCTCACCATGGGTTGCAAATATGGTCGCAAGTGCAAACGTTTTACAATAGGTTGCTTCCAAATATACAAACTATGATAGATGATGCAAGTGAGGGAGCTTTGAATAACAAAACACCAGAGGAAGCCTATAATTTGATTAAAGTAATAGCGAGAAATAACAACATGAGGCCTTTAGAGAGAACTTTAACAAGGAAAGCAGCAAGAGTGCACAAAGTTGATAGCTACACTGTATTGGCTGCTCAACTTTCAGCCATCCAGAAGCAATTGAGAGTTGCCCTAAAGGTAAATCCTATTGAATCTTCTTCTCTAATTTGTGAACTTTGTGCAGGGAATCACTTGTCAAAGGATTGTCAAGAAGGGAATCCCTTTGCTCAATCGGAACAATCTGACTATGTCAACAATTTTCAATAAGGGCAAGGGAATCTGTACTCTAGCACATACACTCCAGCATGGCACAATCATCCAAACTTTTCGTGGAGCAACAATAATGAGCACAAACTACAACCTGGCTTCCAACCTCAAGAGAAGTAATCCAACATGGAGAATGTGCTTACAAAGTTTATGGAGGAATCGGGTAAAAGATTTGACAAGAATGAAGCTTAACTTCATAAATATGAAGTCCTGTTGCAAAATCAATCTGCTTCCATAAGGAACCTTGAGACTCAAACGGGACAAATACATAGTATCTTGGCAAGAAGAGTTCAAGGAACTTTTCCAAGTGATACCGAGAAGAATCCAAAGGAGTAACTTAATGCTATCATGCTGAGAAGTGCTAAGGAGTTGAAGGAATCAAGCAAGGAAAAAGAAAAAGCGCAAAAACTTGAAGTGGAAAAAGTGGACGGAAGTGACCATGCCGCGGCACAGTGCCGTGGCACAGAAGAAACAAGAAGCAAGCATGCCTGTAATGTCCACATGGAGGTACATAATTTAATTTATGTTCTTATACCTTTAGTTGATTTTTGCTAAGCTTATTTTAAGGAAAATGTGAAGAAAATGCCTTAAACTTGCATTAAGGGTAAAATGGTCTTTTCACTCAAAATTAGTTGAAATTGTGGGGAGTGAAAAGAGATAGAATTTCATGGAGAATGCAATAAAAATGAGGGCATTATGGTAATTGACTAAGGGCAATAGATGAAATTTTAAAGAAAGTGCAAGGGCAAAATGGGAAACTACATGTAATTTTTATGTTATATCAAATTGGAGAGTGAAACCCTAGCCACTCTTACCCATATGCATGCCACTTTCACCTCCATATTCTCTCAAATTCTTCAATTCTTCTTCAAAGGAAATTCAAAGGTTTTGAGTGTTTTTTAGTGGATTTTTAATCTTAAGGTAAGATCTTTGCACTAAGAAGTGAATTTTAGTTTTTAAAGTGTTGATTTTGATGGTTTTTGCTCATAGGATTTAAGAGGAAGAGAGTTTGATCAAAGGAGATTCTTAAAGGGTTGAATTTGCTCATATCAAAGGTAAGTAAATCCTACCCTACGTGTGATTTAAGTTATGTTGTGTAGAGAATTTTCTTTGTGCATATATATATGTTACATGTGGAATTGTTGATGGATTTGGTGTTGAATAATAATTAGAATCTATCAATGAGAAGTTGGGTTGGTGTATGTGATACTTGATGAATGTTTGGTTGAGATTTGGAAGAGTTGAAGTGAAAATTTTGAAGTGTGTATTTTGGGCACATTTGGAGTTAATTATGGAGGAGTTTATTCCAAGTTTTTGGTGGCCTAAAATAGAGATAAAAGTGTAGCCAAATTATTGTTGATTTGTGCACATGAAGTGTTTGATGAAATGCCAAGGAGAAGTGCATGTATGAGTATGATTATGTGTTACCTTGGGATGTGTTTGTAGATGGTGAATGACATGTTGGCATTCCATAATGCATGATTGCATTTAAATATGTAAATTTAGAAAGAATTATAAGCATGAAACCATCTACGTGCATATATATTCATAAGAGCATGAAAAAGCCTTAAAATATGTTAAAGAGAAAATAGAAATAAATGAGAAGATTAAAGGTATTCATAACTGAAATTTTACCTAAAGAAATGTAAAAAGATTAAAAAAAAAAAAAAAAGAAGGTTGTTGCGATGGGGAGCCCGTGAGTGACATAGTCCCACATGCATGCCGCCTTTAGTGAGCGGCCTCAGAATTCAAAAAGAAGAAATCTACAGTCTATTAGAAGTGTGTGTGGATAAGGACTGTACCCGGAATTAGAGAATTCACTCACACAGCCAAGGCTCCAAATCCATGCCTCAACCGAATCTGATCTGCAAGAATAGAAAGAAAGAATAGAAAAGAAATAAAGAAATAAAGAAAAAGAAACAGAAAAGCAGAATAAGAAAAATAGAAAAGAAAATGCATAATTTATGCATTTGTGCATTTGCATCATGAATATGCATAATACCATACTCATTATCATGGGTAGTGAAAAATTTAGAAAATAGAGAGAAAAACGGAGAGCAAAATAGAGAAAGAATAAACAAAGAACAGAGAGAAGAACAGGGAAAGAATAGAGAATAATTGGGAAATGTGACGTAGGAAAGAAAATTCAGAATTTTAAGCAGTGGAGAGAGAAGGGTAGCATAGCGGGCTTACTTACTGAGCAATTAGTGCTCACTCCGTTGTTTTTAATGTTTTTGCAGGTAATAGGTAAGTTGCGGTTGCACGGAACATCACGCAATGGATGGGTTGGGTGATGTGTGTTTCCTACAATATGCATAAATAGCAAGTATACTAGTCGCACAAGTAATAGAGTGATGAGTAGAGTATCGTTCCCATGAGGATAGTGTTACTAAGTACCAATTTCCCTAGTTTAAGTCCTAATTGAAGAGACAATAAATTGGATTGATGGAAAATTAACAACTAAATACAAATTAACAAAATATAAATGAATGATAATGAAATTAAAGCAAAACCTAACAACTTAACTAATTAAACAATGCTAAAAAAATACTAGGGTGTTGATTTCACCTAGATACTCTAACCCAAATCATAGAATCTATTACCCAAGTTCTAATTCCTTGATTGAAAATCAAATTCCCTAAGTTGTAAAACATACCTTCTCAGGCTACATTTCCCTACTTATCCCTATTAAGCTTCTGCACCCAACAAATTGAAGATTAATAGTTCAAAGTCTTTTAAGCTTTATGGAATTCTATCTAGATTTCATAGATCACTAAACCTATCTCTAGCGTTTGCTTAATCTACGGTATTTGTCCCAAGAGGCACAATCACAAATCACTTCTCAATCTCATTGTGAACAACACAGATTTGAATGGTGGTCAAACATCCAAAAGTCATTAAGCAAAGAGATAAACACTCAATCATGAAATTAAAACTCAAAGTAAATCAATTCATATAAATTTGAATCATTGTATCAAGGTTACATCAAACCCTAGCTAAACAACTCAGTTCATACTCAAAAACAAAATAAAATAACAAAAACAAACTGAATCAAGATTCATCATTGAAAAACAAGCAAAAGATGGAGAAATCTTCTCTAATTTGAAGCCCAAATCTTCAATAATCTTCTCCTTCCATGAGATTACGTCCCAAATGACGAACTAAGCCCATTTTCTCTTCCTTTTGTCTAATTATACCTCTCTCACGTAAGGATCAAGCCTAGCAAGCCAAAACGCGTCGTTTTATTTTACATCTGATGCAGGTTTCGCCACGGCGAAGATTTGTCTTCGCCGCGGTGAAGATTTTCGGGCCAAATATGAGCATGATAGAGTATGAATTGGAAAAGTATTAAACATATGAATTGTAGCCCTTTAAATTCTCTTCTGTTAGTTCAAGAAACAGCACAATCTGAGGTCTACAGATCAAGTTATGGCAGAAATACTGAAGCACATCCAAAGACATTTTTCTTCAGTTCCCAGTGTTTTTCACGACTTCAAGCCAAGTTTTCACCCTTGTCCAACAGAATTAGGAAAAAACTGAAACATGAAAGTTGTAGCTCTTATTCTTAGCTTTCCAAAGCTTCTAAATTTAGGTCATTCCAAGTTTCCAAGCTCAAGTTACACAATTTACGCTCCAAAACTGTCATTTATGCTCAAAATCATCGTTTAGGCCGCAAGACAAATTAATAGAATTAGGTAGCAATTATGGCCCAAAATGTGAAAAGTATCCTAAATCCTATCAAAATTCAATGCAAAATCATAGTGTAAAATATGATTATCATTGGGCTACACTGTCACGTTGCTATTTTGAGTATATTTTGTAAATATTGTACATAAAGAAAAATTCAATATGGGCCCATACTTTGTTACAGTATATGTGTATTTGCTTATATATTGTTAATGAGATTTATTATTTATTAATTATTTTACAAGTATACTAGCTAGAAAGTAAGCTTACATTTTTTGTATCAGAGCAAAGGTTTTGAGATTGACAGTGTGCTTCTCTTGCCACGTTGATGTTTCGTCTCCAATCGCTGTAAGTTAATTATTTCCTTACTTGTAGTAGATGAGTGAATTGAGTTGATTAAAGTACTGGTTTATGTAGATGAGACGTAGAACCCGAGGAAGCGAGTAGGAAAGAAATGAGCACGGGTGAACCTTCCTACCTCTAGAATCTACTCCCCCTGTCCTCGATGAAGTGAGGATTCATAATATTATACAGCAAGTCTTGGCAAAAAATTGGGGAGGCACCGTACCAGAGAGAGTTGAGACCCCGGTGATTGTACCGACCCCCAGAGAGGGAGAGAGAGGCCGGTACCCCCAGTAGTGCAGAATCATATTGAGTCGATTTATGGGTTGCCTAGTCAACACACAGCCGTCAGAATTTAGGGGTACAGTGGACCCACTAGTGGCAGATGAGTGGTTCAGATCAATGGAGGTACGACAACACTTTTCCCTATCACAGACCGGGAGAAGATTCAGTATGCCAGTTTTTTATTAGGGGTGATGCTCGTATATGGTGGGAATTGATGGAGGATACTCATGGTACAACTTTGATGACCTGGGGAGATTTTAGAAGATGGTTGAGGCAGAATATAGAACAA